CTACATTTGAATCCATGACAGCCTTTCCATTGTTAGGTTTGGCCTTGTTTTTCAACTTTGGACGGTCTTTCTTCCAATGCCCATTTTCTCGGCAAAAGGCACATTCATCTTTGCTGGGTCTGGATCTTGACTTGGATCTTCCTTTCTTCGTTCTCATATGATTCTGAGACGACCTCTCACGACCAGTGCTTCTCCTTCTCCACTCTTTTGTTTTTCTCTCTTTCTTTGTTCATAGCTGTACAAGGCAGAACAAACTTCTTTGAGAGACACTTCATCATTCCCATGAAGTAGAGTAGTTTTTAGGTGCTCGTACTCATCGGGAAGTGAACTTAATAACATTAAGGCCATATCTCCATCACTAAAAATCACGTCCATATTCTGCAAATCTGTCGCCAACTTATTAAAGCTGGTGATATGATCATTCATTATAGTATCAGGAACATATGTGAAGTGTAACAGTCTTTTTTTCATGTAAAGTTTATTTTGACTGTTTTTCTTCAAGAATTTATCCTCCAACGCATTCCACAATTTACTTGCAGAAGTTTTTTTTGTGTATGGATACTTCTGTTCTCTTGCGAGGTAAGATCGAATGGTACTACAAGCAACGCGGTTGATAATCTTCCAATCTCCTTCTCCAATATTGTCTGGTTTATTTTTTTCTATGGCAATATCTAGCCCTTGTTGAAAAAGGACATCAAGAACCTCAGCTTACCACATCCCGAAATGTCCTGACCCGTCAAAAATTTCAACTGCAAATTTCGCATTTGACATAATTCTTGTCATAAGCGAAGATGCCAATGACGTATTACTGACACCCGATGTGGACTCTTCATTTTTATTATCTCCCATTTTGCTATAGATACTATTTATTTGCCGACAGTACAGAACACCAAAGTAATTCTTTTCTGATGTGGAAGTTCAGACTATGCTGCAACCACAGAGCATACTAAGATAGAACATTGGCTCTGATACCAATTGTTGCGGAAGCCGAATATATAGAGAGTGATTAAATCACAACTACTATATCTAAAGGTAGCTAATAAATAGTAAATGAGACAATAATAAAATGAACACCAGAAATTAATGAGGTTCGGCAAAATTTAATTTTTTGCCTAGTCCTCGGACACAATCAACTCAAATTTATTTCACTTCAAAAATACAAGTGAAATACTACAAGAGAGAAAGAAGATTCAAATGCCTTAGGAGATAAGAAGGCAAGTGAGAGATGTTTTACAAATGAACAAAATCCTTGCTATTTATAAAAGAGAAATGGCCTTAATAATGTCATACATGATATTATATTAAGTGTGAACATGCAATGTAAATGCATGAAAAATGCATCTATCAATTTCTTTCTAAAAGGAAGCTTCAAATGTTCACATTAGTTCACATTAATCTTGTCAAAATTCAACATGTCTTTCTCAGATGTAGTGGTCATACTGTGGAGTGTGAAGTAGTTCATTGGCGTGTTAGGCTCCCCTGTTGCAGAACAGTGTGTTAATGGTTTAAGTTAAATGGTTTTTTCAAGGATTAGAAAAGTGTGAGTTTAGTAGCCCCATACTTTAGAACATTGAATTTCCAGTGTAGGCAGAAAAGAAGAAGAGATTTGACATAGTAGAAAACACTCAAAGCAGACGGAGGAAACAATTTACACGAACTGCAAAGTTCAAATCTGCTTTGGGGTCACGGGTATGAAGATTGAAGTTCAATTCAAGAATTACAATATGAAAAGGGAGTGAGGCAAAAGCAGAGATAAAGGAAGTTAATCTTATGACTAGCACAAAATATTTCAAGATAGATAACCTATTCGATCATGAAATTATTCCTAAAATCAAATTTCATGTTCTCTTAATATATATGTAAAGTCAAATGAAAATTTACCCTTTTCTAAAACAAAATAGAAGTTTATAGACTTATATCTTATCTCGTGAAACATACTAAGCTCTCTCGATAGTATATTGTGTTGTCCAAAAAATTATGTCATATCTGTTTGAAGTTTATGAGAGAAGTGTTTGCTTAAAACCTAAATTTCGATTAATTTCTTTTATTTTTTCCCACTCGTTTATTCAAATCTTTCTTAAACGCAAAACACATTTTTTGTTGAGTGACAGCCGAGACAATGGAAAATGCAGCTATTTTCTGTACAATAAGTGCCGTTCCTCCATCGTTTTGCAGGTTACTTGAAATTTCTCTAATGTTTTTCATCTATATAGAACTCCAATCTTAAAACTTTCTTTTGAAGAATGACCAGTACCTTTCATTCTAAATGTATTCATTTTTTTCTTCATCTATCGTTTTTGTATTACAAAGCCAGTTTCTTGAGTTCTACGAATTGCTTGGCCAACATCTCCGGCAATAGCCAATCAATTTGGCCATTGTATTATTAAAAAGCTAACAGTCGACCTTAAAGTCCGTGTAATTAAATTCCCTTACCATTACGTACGTTACTTTTATCCATGTGCTTAATCTCAAAAACATACAATTAATTTTTCTCATTATCCATCAGAAAAAGAAATCTAAATTTCAAATTATTTTTTTCCATTTGCAATGGCAGACTTCTCAAACTCAAAGCATAGACTATAATCTATATAACAGCATATTCCCTCTGAAACCTTTCTTTCAGTTTCAATTCACCTCTCTTTCTTCAGAATTTCAGTTTCTTGTCCATTTCATTTGTCGCCCTTCTTTACACTACATTTCTATAGCGTCAATGAACCTCCTTCAATTCCTTCCTTTATTTCTTCCGTTATATTTATAGAGTTATTATTATATCATAGACAAAATCTCCTGCACTCTTACTCTTTTTGGAGTCACTCATCCCCTAAAACCAAATACCTCCATAGGAGGAAAAGAAAATTTGATGGCTCCATTGAGACATGTTCCAGTACTGATACTACTGCTGAATTTTTTTATCAGCTGTTCGAACGCTTACCAATTCGACGTCGGTGGCACAGATGGTTGGATTGTTAATCCTCTTGAATCATACGACCACTGGGCTCAGCGGTTGAGATTTCAAGTAAATGACACTCTTTGTAAGTTCTCCCAAATTTGTTTGTTAGCACCAAAAAATGTATATTACTATTTGATAATTATCTTTTTCTTGTTTGTACGCGTGACAGTGTTCAAGTATAAGAAAGGATCAGATTCGGCGTTGGAGGTAAATAAGGATGACTATGACAAGTGCAACACAGAAAATCCGATTAAAAAAATGGAAGATGGCAACTCTGTTTTCAAGTTTGATCGGTCTGGTCCTTTCTATTTTATTAGTGGCAAAAAGGATAAGTGTGAAGAAGGACAAAAGTTGATTGTTGTTGTTCTAGCTGTTAGACCGCCGCCTCCTTCTCCTCCCACGCCGCCCAAAGCTCCGGCTCCATCCGCTCACACTCCAACGACGGCTACTCCACCTAAAGGATCATCAACACACATTTCACCGTCACCAAAAGGAAATCCGGATTCTCTTTCTCCTGTAGGTAAAACTCCGTTAGCATCACCTACACCTGTTGATTCCCACTCATCTCCAACGGCCCATGCACCTGGAAAAGCTCCTACATCAGGTGTGACTCCGCGTCATGGTCCACAACCATCTCCAACGGCTCATGCACCTCTAGTAGGGGTGCCGCCTGCACATGATGGTTCCCACTCATCTCAGACGACCCATGCACCCAAAAAGGCTCCAACACCAGCATCATCGCATGCACCAGTTGTGGCTCCAACACCGGCGTCACCTGCTCCAGGGAAGGCCCCAACACCGGGATCATCGGATGGGCTTCCAAGTGCCGGTTCAAACCAATCTCCCACGGTTCATGCTCCCCTAAAGGCTCCAACACCGGCACTGTCGCATGTTCCTTCTGGTTCACATTTAGCTCCGACTACTAATGCGCCTGGAAAGGCTCCAACCCCGGCATTGTCGAATGTGCCTCGTGGTACTGGTTCAAAACCACCTCCTACAAGTCATGCACCTGGAAAGGCTCCAAGCAGCGCATCAGTTGCTCCTGCTGGGTCCCACTTATCTCCGACAGCACATGCAACCGGAAAGGCTCCAACACCTGCATTGTCGCATGTGTCTCCAAGTCCAGGTGCACACCTATCTCCTACTGCTCATGCACCTGGAAAGGCTCCAATAGGGGCGGCGTCACTTGCGCCTGTTGATTCCCACCTATCTCCAATTGCCCATGCACCAAGAAAGGCGCCTACACCAACATCATCGAATGTGCCTCGAGGTACTAGTTCCAACCCACCTTCTCCAAGTCCAGGTACACACTTATCTCCTACGGCTCATGCACCTGGAAAGGCTCCAACAGGGGCGTCACCTGCGCCTGCTGGTTCTCACTCATCTCCAATTGTCCATGCACCAGAAAAGGCGCCAACAACAGCATCATCGAATGTGCCTCCAGGTACTGGTTCCAACACACATTCAGTATATGTAGTATCTTAATATGTCTCGAAAGGAAAAATGAGATTAAAGGCTCTATATATCAAAACCTTGGTATTTTTAGTATTTATTAACTTGAATTTGAATTTAAGTCTTAATTAATTTATACAAATGTGTTTGTTCATAAAATAAAATGACTATCTAAACAAACTTCTTTCAACTCTTTAAATTCAAGCCTTCCATGAGAAATGGCCTAGTCGGTTGCGTATACTGTGGTTTTGCTTGTCTTTCTCCAAATAATATACGGATAATATCTCTATAGGGATAATAAAAAGTCTTCCTTCTTCAGTTGTGTCTTTCTATTTTTCTAACACCTTCTACGGTTAATGCACCAGGAAAGTCTCCATCGGAGGCGTTACACGCGCCCGATAGTTCATCTCCAACTGCCCATGCACCTGGAAAGGCTCCATCTCCCGTTTCAGGTTCACACCTATCTCATGCTCCTGTAAAGTCTCCAAAATCATCAACCACTCCGGCATCACATGCACCGTCAGTTCACAGTCCAGCACCTACAAAATCTTCAACGAGTCATTCTGCATCACCAGCAGAGGGGAGTACGTCCAATGCATCATCCTCTCCAATTTCATCTCCCACGTCATCAAGCCCGCCAACAGGAAGTATTGCTCCGGCCTCCAGCGACAACATTCATTCACCAGCGAGTTCACCACTCAATTCCCAGTCGTCAGCTGAGAAGGCAATAACTCCTTCAGTTGTTCTGATGTCAACAGTCTCACTCCTCTTTTCACTGCTTTTGGGAGGATTCCTAAGGAATAATTTGACATAGAAATTATACTATAAACACTTTGTTCTGTTTCCCGGTTATTACTTAATTTTGTTTTCTACTTCTTTTTTGTTAGTTAATTTTCATTTCTTGAATTACAGGTGGGTTGGGGTGTTTAGATAAACAAGAGTGTGTTTAATTGTTATCTTTTATTTTTGTTCTCTTTTAATTTCCTGTGTCACATAAATCTTTCATATATGAGAGTGTATAGCTGTCTTCCTCTTATAGCATAATATTTCTAATTGGTTCAGAGCTCGCTATGCTCATTTAGTTTTCTTTTGATGAGTTAGTTGCCTTAGCTAGCAATCACTATCTTCAAGAGTATTGTCGAAATTATTACTTACTATTTTATCGGTTCACTCTTACTTGTCCGTACTTTGCTATTTAAGAAATAGTAATAAATAAAGTAAATAAAGTGTATAATTTATCATGATACTTATATTAATTAATTTATATTTTTAATAAATTTAAAAAAATAATTTAAAATGATTAATTAATACTATGTGTATAACAGAAAAAAAGAAATTATCTTTTTCTTGATATTGAGGGAGTAGTTTAATTTCGCCTTCGAAGCAAGTTGAAAAGATATTAAGGTGTCTATCCCTTTTTTAATTTACGTACTACTACCATTTAGGGATACAAAATAATGCATACAAAAATTAAATATCTACCGTAAAAGAAGTAGGTGATCAATAATAATAAATTCTTTAAGCACTATGGATTTGGTGCTAATAAAGTAAAATTAATACGCATTGACGTATGTTCCCACTTTTTGTTAAACCAGTCCTCCTAATTCAATGAGTTGTCTTAATTGCTCGCATTAAAGGTCTTTAATCTTAATCAACAGCACAAACTAAACTTCTTGTCCTCAACCGTTTTCATTTTTCTAAGATGCCAAGGGATGAATTATTATTAATGCCACAATTAATCGGAAATTAAGTTAATTAATCTATATATTAGCCTTGTTTACCTGTCAATTTGAGCGTTCCCGGCTTCTCTTAACTATGATGATACCTTAATTATTAGCCTTAAAATTCATAAATAGTATTTCCTCCTGTCCACAATAGAGATTATGCCAATCAGATAATGCCAATAAAATTCCAAATTTGGAAGAGTAACAACTTTGACAGTACCTATATATACAATTAGGGGTTTCAATGGATATTCGAAAACCGACTAAACCGACCGAATTGTATCGCACCAAACCGATTTTTAGGTTTGTTTTAAAAAAAATCGTAGGTTTTTATATAAATCTATAACCGCACCGATAATTATGATAGATTTTTTATTTTATAAAAATAAACCGAAAAAATATCAAACCGTACCGAATATATTTTACATGTGAAAAATATATTTATATAGTAAGTTTAAAAATAATAATGCATTAAATTTTTCTTTGGGCCTTGAATTATGAAAACTGTTACAAGCCAACAAGTAATTAAACTCAAAATACTAATTCCTAAAACCTATTATGCTACTTATAGTTAAACTAAGTTATTTCAAGTATCTTAGCAAGACACAAAATATTCTAGCGATTATGAGTAGCAAACTACAATGTATTGAATATGTTTCCTTTCATAGAATATATATTTATCTTTTTGAATACTTAATTTTCTATATACTTTATTCTTGATTCCTAACTTGGTTAATATATTTTCACTCATGTAATTTATATTTTCTATGTCTTTGCTTGATTTTTTACGTTGTTGTAGAATAGTTGATGGATCTATACTCTAGCCATCTTTTATTTTATTTTTTAAATTCATCACCCTTTAAACAGTAAAAATGTCTAGAGAGTTTTGTTACGTCCTATAAAAGAACATATGTTATTGCATTCTACTTCTACTGGTGAATTTTATATGATATTTAAAAAAATATCGAAAATTAACCGAACCGTACCGATACCGAAGAGAAACCGACATGATTGAGACAATTTTGAAAAGTATAATTTTGATTATACATAATATAATAACCGAAAAATTAGTATGATACTAATTTTATAAAATAATCGACCGAACCGAATCATTGACACCCCTATATAACAATCTTTGGCGAAATTTACTCTTGTTCACTAATTATTAGGATGAATCATCAAGATACTTTATATTTTTGCTTTTCTACACACTCATAGGTGTGGGGGGTTTATACAGAAATCATAGAAGACTCGAATAAATTAGAGTGTGCAGCTTTTACGAAAGAGGTTCTATGCACTAATTGAATAAAAAATATTTACACATTCACTGTAGTCTTAGGTAATATTTACAAATATGTACTTATAAGGTAATCAATTATAAGTAACTACTTTTTATGATAAACATTAGCTGGTATAACCTGTTATTGTTTTGTTAAACACTAGTGTTAATGTGAAACGTATGGCATTCGGCATTGTATATAAAACCCTTAAAGAAATTAACCATTGTGATGAAAATAACGCGGTGGATTAGCTGGAAAGGTGAAGACAGAAAACTTGAAACGTATTCTTATTTCGTATTAGATCTCGCAACGCTTCTAATCTAAGGCGAGTTTGCTGTCTAAAAGGCATAAACAATTGCCGGTGATCGAGAAATTAAAGGTGGGCAAATCTGCAAATTCCAAAACATAGATCCTGCGAACCTTTAAAGCTACGTTCAATTAAAGGAAAGGAACAAATCCCAAAACATTGATTGATGGGAGCCATTAAAGCTATGTTAAGTGATTTAACAATGATCAAGAAACTAAGAGTGCCATTTTGCAAATCCCAAAATATTGATCATGAGATTCATTAAAGCTAGCTATATATGTTCAATTAAATGAGATTGCATTATAAGATGACATGCAAATAACATGAAATGAAGATGCAGCAAATCGAACTCAAAGTGTTATGGCCTATTTGGTTAAGTTTTTTTTTTGGCCAATTTTTTTTTTTTTCAAAAGTAATTTTTTAAAATTAAGTTAAGGTGTTTGGCCAAGTTTTTAGAAGGAAAAAATATTTTTGAGTTGAAGCAGAAGTAGTTTTTAAAAAATAGAAAAAATTAGTTTCTTCCCAGAAGCACTTTTTTGAAAAATATTTCGGAAAACAAAATACACTTAGAATCATTTTGTAAAAGTTTGGCCAAATTGTAATAGTTGCTCAAAAGTGCTTTTCAAATTAATTAGCCAAACACAAACTGCTTTCCACCAAAAGTACTATTTTTAAAAGCCTTTTCAAAATAAACCGTGTTAGAAGTTTGACCAAACAAACTATTAGACGTGTGGTTGAGAAGTTTCATTAACAATCTACTGCGCCAAAGTCCAAATCTTTGAAACCGCCATTTAAGAAGAGCTTGATTGGGGATCATGTCTCCCTAAATAAAATTATAAATATGAGAATTAACATCCATTGTAGACGCGAAATATTCTGTACACAAAAGCTACATTCTGCTTTCATTTTTTAACACTATTCTAAGTTTTTATTCTTGAATATTGTTCTCACTTTTACCACCGGAGAGGCTAAGTTTATACTTTATAGCCATGCTTGTATTTTATTTAATTTCATTTCACAATCTTATTTTTGTTCCTATTTATTCAATATTTTGGGGTCAAATCGATTCACTTATCTATAAACTACGGTATAAATTTAACTGTATCATTTTACGGGTAAACAGTTTGGTGCCCACCGTGGGGCATAGACAATTGTGTAATTGATTTGATCCATTCATTTGTTACTAACAAATTTTGATTCCTTCCTTAGTAAAAGAAAAATCAGGTATGGCAACTAATAATGTCAACAATGTCTACAATGTTTGAGCACACAATGAACGGGAAGATGTGTGAGCGTGATGATTCAACTAACGAAACCTGCAATGAAGGAGATGAACAACCCCAGTTCGCGAAGGCCATGTAAGGCCCCGTAGAAGTACACCTAGGAGTTCGGTGCAGACTTTTTGGATTGTACAATGCATTGTGAAGTAAGTGAAAGTTTTTGCAGAATATGAAATTTCTGCGATCCATTATGCGACCGCAGAACTGCTCTGCTGGTCGCAGATCCGCTGCAAAGTGGACCAGGTGAAGCTTAATTTTGAGGTCTATTTCAATTATGCGGCCGCATAACTATTTCGCGAGCCGCACTTCCATCGCAGAACCTGCCGCGCCCCGTTTTCTCGCGAAAGCGGTCTTCGACGTATGACAACTCTTTTAAAGTGGGTATTAAAAGAGAAGAGTCGCCACCTAAGGGTTTAAGGTGCGTTAGGACACCTATTTGTATATAACTCCGTTTTAACTAGTCTGGTTACCAAAGATCGGGTAAGGGCTCAAATTACCTCAAAGAGAAGGTGTTAGGCACTCTTCGANGAATTCTATTGATCGGGAAGAGGGTGTAAGGCATTCCCCGAATCCTGTGATTCTAGCACGGTCGCTTTATTGACTACAACTTGGCTTGAATTAATTTTGGACAAACTGTGATTTATTGATTTCCATATTTTTCTTTATCCGCTTTTTGTTGCTTGATTATTCGTAATTAAGAAATTATCTTGAAACGAGTCACGCGTACGTATACCCGTTTTGTTTGGCGCATTAAAAATCATGCCACGCATGTGTGTACACAATTGATAACACTTTTATTATTATTAAAATTATTCTGTCAAAGTTGCGTGAACGCATACCTTGCCTTTAACTTTGGAAATCGTAATTATGTCACGTGAATGTATACATAATCACGATAATTGATTTATTACTGTGCGCCTAAAGCATACTAGAGATATTTTCCTAAACTAGTTTGAGATTAAGGCCGAAGGTTTATGGGGATCATTGTGGAAGATGTAAGATTTAACTATTATAATTATGAAATAAATGGAGACAAAAGGCTAAATCTTCTTAAATCCTATCAGCCCCAAACTATTCCAAACATAATCAAACATCTCTAAAAATCCAACTAGCTAATCAAATCCCATTTATGGTATACTATATGAACTAAAATAAATGTTAACTAAGCAACCTTTTAATTTTCAGCAAGCAAACCTATAGCCCATATTGATACACCATAAATCACAAGGCACAATACCAACTCAACTACTGTCTTCTTCGAATGTTCCCCATTTTACATGT